GGATGTTGATAATCCAGAGGACGACAGCTTGTTGAACTATAGGGATGTTGCTTGAAGGTGTCGACGTGGCTGTTATTAGAAGGGATGCCTTGATCACAAGGCATCGGAGGGCGTATGTAACGGACAGGCCCGTTCTACTTCCTTTTTCGTAACATAAACCCGGACTTTATTTGAACTATGCTTATCTATGCACTCCACTCTTATCTACGTATAAATACTTGGTCGTGCCTAGAATTACGCCAGTCTTTCTTACCTTTTCCCCCCGAATCGAGGTGTCTTCAACCCGGTCCTTGATTCGTCCTTGTGTGCCGCTACTGACTATCATCGCTAACGTCACATGTATCGAACAAATGGTCAGATTGTAAACAGACTAGACAGGAACGAATTCCTCACTGGGCATCCAATTCCTTCTCTACCCATTCAATCATTCATTCAACTCTGCATCGCCATAGTGAATAGTAACAAAGTTCAAAGTGGGACAGACGACCGATCCTTCGTGTCGATTCTTCTTAGCTTGGTCCGCCGCTGCTGTTCAAATAGACCAAGTCCAGCATAGTTTCTGCATATAGGCTATAAGTAAGACTTCTAATGCCGAATTCCTGGAATCGACTCACCGGGCACTGACAGTCTGTCGTACTGCAGAGCGAAGTGTAGACAGACGGTGATGGTAGTAATGGAGATCAATGGATGGGGCCGGGCCGACCTGGATTCGGACTTTGAAATATTCTCTAGGCATTTCCGGCAAGAGCCGCAACAAGTTCTTTCAAAGTTCTTTCTCGTGTCCTTGTGCTTTGTAGTACGCTAGTGTTACACATCTGGTTTTGATGATAGTTGCCGTCGTACTGCAACATGTCAACGACTATTAGTCCTTCCGCCGGGAACCTTGAGCAATGTTGCGCTCAATGGGAGGTTGGCAGAGATTATTGAGAGCATTGAAGTGGAGTCTACTTATAACTGTTCTATTTGCATACACAAAGTTTACTATAATCGTACTCTTTATTCTGTTACTGTAAATGCCCTCAAATCGTACATAGACTCTAAGAAAGTGACGCGCGTTTGTAGCACCTAATAGATTATGCTGTTAGCTATAACGTAGACCTCACACAGCGTAGCGATAAGCAAAAACGCGATGGTGTATTCACTGTACCTAATAGAGTATGCTGTTAGCTATAACATAGACTACAGAATACCAATCAGTGACATAAACGAAGTAATATAAGTAGATACTCACCCTCACACAGCGTAGCGATAAGCAGAAACGCGGTGAGGGTGCTCGACAGACCGTATTCAATATATATAGTCCATCCCGACATAAAGGGGTATCGAGCTTGGCCGGCGGGATACGACGGAGCTCCTGCTTGCTAATCCAACATAGACAGCTACTCTTCCACTTCATATGTGACAGGGCCTTCATCACATATCTCCTTCCATTGTGCAGCCACCTCAGTAGCAGAAGGCGGTATAACAAAAGGTTGAGACAGACGCAGTGTTTGCAATGCTGCACGTGTGCACACAGCATGTCTCCGAGACTGGACCATGTCAACGAAAGAAGGCGACAAAACTGGCTCCTCATCAAGGAACTCGAAAGCCAGCGAGGTGAGTCCGGGAACGACATCCGGGTGGATATCCACATTGAGCCAGAGGACAAGTTCAGCGTTGGGAGGTAGCAACCGACGGGACATAGATAAGCTGGAAAGCGATATAGTTGTTTTCAGAAGACAGATTAAATCAACTTGCACTTCAACAGACATAGGGAATTTGGTACGGATGCAGAGGGATTTCAAGTTGCCTGCTGTCGAGCCAAGTAGAGACCTGGGAACCCGGACGCTATATGAATACTCATATGCGATACTCAGAGACTCCAGACCAGGAAATGCTACATGCGAAAGAAGATGAACGATTCCTCCCACCGACGAAAAACCAAATTCCATCATATCTTGACTCGCTTCGGTTTCGTACACATCAAGAAAACGAAGGCGCTGATGAGACGAAGGAGAGAGTATCACATCAAAGTCCGGACTATCATAGCATTGTAGATAAGCCACGTCGATGTTCGTCGCGAGCTTCAAAATATCGATATGGGTGGCTGTCCCATCATACCCATCGTACTCAGTGAGTTGTGACCATGGTAACTTAATCCGTTTGAAGACAGTGTGTGCTCCTTGTAGAGTGAGGCCGCGAAGCAGCGGAGCATATTCGAAGGCATTAAATCTAGGCTTGGCCAAATCCACGGGTAACTCAGGATCGTCATCTATGAATTCGATGGAAAGACGATTTAAGCAGTGAAGGGAGCCTCTGGCAGCGGAGAAAGCATGTAGAAAATCATAAGGGATGATCATTGAAACATCGATCCACCGTGGTGTGCTCAGGAGAAGAACAGGTATGAGACGGATCCTTGGAACCTTCCTCGAACTGTAGATAGATAGCATAATATTGCGCATCACAGACCGTTGAAGATACGTCTGAGGAAGATCCTGGCATGCCTGCTCGTTCTTGTATAGATCGAAATTCAGCGTAATGGACGATCAAAGCCGGGATGTCGACAGCGCGGTCGCCCTCCAATCCCTGCAGACCTGGGAAAGAACAAACGGCACGAACTGCCCATTCAATGACTCCCTCCCTTCCATATCAGTTACAGCGTCGAAATGGCACGCCAAGAAGATTTCATGTACGATGTCGTCTGGGATCGTACGGACGGGGTGAAAGATTGTCTTGCAGGATTCAATCAGGCACTCGACGCACGTCTTCTCATCCAAAAGCGCCACAAGCGCAGCCCGTGTCTGGGTTATCTGTTCCTGTAGTCCAGCTGAAAACCCATGGCCTCCACCTATAATGCCCTTCAGCTGAGTACACTCGGCGTCAAGGGGGGGATTGTTTGACTTGAGCAATTCATCCATTCGAAAAGCTGCCGCCTCGATGGAGAGAAATTTGATGGGAGACACTTCTGAATTATTCCGACATTGCGGGCAGCGGGGTGAGCCTGGCATCTAGAACGTTGATAAGATATATATATATAGTTAGTACAGGTTCACAATATCTTACCTTTCAGTAGTTTCTCAATGTGACCTCTGTCAAAATGGATGGTTCGGAAAAGGTCGGTAAATTCTTTTTTCTTTTTTGGCAACAACACTTTAAAACTTGAGGGCCAGCTGTCCAAAAGCAGCAGTCGTGGGTAGTGCAAATACTATCAGCGACATAGCGGAGGGGAGTCATAGCACGAAAACATTTCGACAAAACCCCCTTCGTCGTAGCACGATAGCTTTTTGTATAAGTCTATGTGACGGACCTCCTAGCAAGAAGCATCGCAACCCCTATTTTCTGCTTGGGGGTCATCATTCAGATGTTTTGCGCACCATCCATCAAAACGACTGCTTCGTGAGCAACTTACGACACTAGTACTGTGCAGAAATGAGGAGCACAAGACACCGAGGATAGACCTGACAGGTTCATGGAATACAAAATTATTCAGACAGCTTCAGCGGTATAAATCTGAAGAATCTTCAAGAAATGAAGTACTATCTGTTGGGATAGCAATCCCGAGCGAGTACGAGAACGTACTCGAAGATACCATGCCAGTCAGCGGCAGCTGACTTGGATCGTGATCCAGACTTATTTAGTATCTCGTAGAAAGATCTCGAAGTAATACGAAATGTATTTAAGTAGAACGTTTCTCTCTCGAGAGGCTAATTCTAGTTCTCTGTTACATTACTCTGCTCTCTACTTACAACACTATCGTTCAACGATGCCGCAAGGAGAACGAAATATCAATGTCCCATGAAGTATATATGAAACAAGTTCCGGGGTACGTCAACGATCAATTCTCTCAACAAGAGAAGGGGAATGAATCATCAGCTATCTATTATTTCGTAAAGATGCCATTTAAAACCTATTTGACCGCTCAGCACCGAAGCCAACAGAAGAGGAAGATAGTCTCTCACCCAAGCAGCAAAGTCACCAAATGCCGAATCCTGCGACAAGACGTATCTTCGAGCGTCAGAGAATCCAGTGACGTCCTGGCAACAGTATTCTTGACCACCGGCTTGATCGACATCCCAAACACCCGTCGTAAAGAATCCTTTGTATGGTGTGAATTAGTATATCGGGCGCCCCTAAAGCAAACAAGCTCACCGACTAGGTTGGTATTAATGATAAGCACGAATCCTTAAAGTGATCGGGCGTATTGCAAGTCGAAGAATCAATTTGAAAAGTCGGAGTGCCCCAAGAGCTCGGGGTCGGCAAACCGTAGTTGACGTCTACGAGAAAGGAATAAGCTAACCCCATGACAACCAGGAAGGAAAAAAAAATGACACACCCACTTGTCCGTGGTCGGTGTTCCACCACATCTTGATACCGTCCGCAGTGAGTTCGGGCCCATACGTGGCCCCATTAACATCGTTCGCCGCCTGGCCGAAGCTAGTCTTGCTGTTTACCGAGGCACCACAGGACTGGTAGTTGACATTCGGATCGCAGTTGGTGCCGCCCTCGGAGGCGGCGACATTCAGGTTCGCGCCGTTGACATTTCTCTCATCCATCCAGCAGCCGGTACTGCTGTGCATGGACATGGTGTTTTGGGTATACGAGTTCACCCCCTTGAACAAGTAGATCTCGCCTAGAGCACGGCGGGTTCTTAAACGCAAGGAAGCGAAAAAACGGGGAAGGGTAATCGCTTACCAGTTTCAGGCCATGTACCCCTGCTGGTGAACTATCAATTGGAAATGATGAGTATCTAGCCTCACGCAGAATAAATGAACGAAGGCATACCCAAATGGCCGGCCAGACACCACACATACTGGGCATCTGGTGGACGTTGATGATGAACTGAATCATGCGATGCCAATCAGGGCAACCACCGCCGTCAACGATGCCTTCAGATAGAAGACATGCTTAAAACCCATCGTGTATCCTTGGTTTGGTCCAGGACGTATAACACACACCATACTAGCAGAGAGTCCGCTCTCCTCTGTAGGCTTGGAACGATAAGCAGGATCATCGACGATCTTCGAAATCATCGCATCGGAAAGAGAAAGCATTTTCACAGAGCGTTGTTGTTTCAAGTTCGAATCAGGGTGAGCCACATGGAGAAGAGGCCCATCACCTCATGGTGAAGCCCACAGCCCTACACTTAGCGCTTCTTAACAACTCGCGGATCCCTCTTGGTAATTGGAACTCCACTTTGGACATCCTTACTTCATATTGAGTTTTTCTTCGAGTATTTATATGCTCATATCTTGGCTAGCTACTCATATTCTTGAGACATGTCCCAGACATGTCCTCCCCCCGAGGAACGCTTGCCTGAGCTGCAATTGCGGTCGGCTGCAAAGTCTTGAAAGAGTAAGCCTTCTGTGTTATTGTGCAGGACGCAGCTGTCCAGCACCTATACTTGCTTTGACCTAGATATGATAATCGTATCAACACCGTAACATATACCACGCCGGAAACTGTCATATGCTTGAAGATATACCCTGACAAAGATACTGCGATGAAAATTAGAGCATGTGGAAGTGGAAGACATACTTAGAATGATCGGGAGACGTGCGCCCTTCCCATTCCCAGATACAGGAGAGAAAGGCGGGCAGGAAACCCAAGCACAACAGGAGGTGACCAAGGGGAAAGTGACACTCACCCTAACTTGGTCGTCAATATTAGAGTGGGGGAAGGAATGAAGGAAGGACGGGCCCAGATCAGAGGTAGTACCAGGAGGGCGGACGCCAAGATGGAGAGCCCAAGTAGTCGATGGAAAGCAGGCGCGTGAGATCCTTAGCCTTCGGAATTTATCTTCGGATGCCGGCTTCTTCTGGAAGTTGCGACGAAAGAGTCCGGAATAAAACAAATCGAAGTACGATACATTCCACCAGACTGCAGAGTTAAAGGAAAAAAATTACCTTCCATCTGCGCCGCCAAAAACAGGTCCGACACTGTATCCTATCGCGATAACACCCTTGATACTTTCCCCCTAGATGTAGGCACACAAGGAGGGAATCCAATAAACATTTACTTGCCCCTCAATCGATAAGCTGGACGATGGTTTTCGAGAACCCTCGCGAGGAGGAGGTTTCCAATCATGCATCATGACTTGCGCCAAAAGGCATATCACCGAACCGGCTGAAATGCTATCGGTACACCAAAGGGACCAAGAGCGTAGAGATAATGACGCATAGCATAGACCTAGTCCGAAAAAAATATGGGGGAGGACTTTCTTGAATGGGAGAAGGTTTGTCTGGGTCGGGTCTGTGAGTTGGATCCGTTTTTTTGTGTGTTGTTGAGGAAGGCAGGAACACTTTCCTCGGGTGGGGTAGCACTGGGGATCGATCGACATAAGAAAGCAGTGGCTAAATAACAAGAACGGGTTCGTGAAGATGAAATTGTCCGGAAGTTATTTTTATTAATAATGTTGTCAGGAAAATCTGAAAAACCCGTCCTTGCGACTCAGATCTACCACTAGTCTAGTGCCTGACAGGAACACACTGGAACCGACGGAGCGCTTAGCACGAACCGTGAACAGCAATGCTGATAAACGATCTCGATCGACTGCTCTTTTTTTTTTTCCCTCCATACGCACGACGCCGTCTGCATATGTATATCCCTCTTCCACCCCATCTTGCACTGGGTCTAATATAAATACATCGAAAGCTATGACCTATTTGTTCTGGCCTGGTTGTTCGGTTCGTTCCTCGCCATCTGACCCTGACCACCGTCAGGAGAAAAACAGTCCTCCAAATTTCCGAATGTTTGGCTGCTACTTGAACGCTTGAACCGTGCGCTATGACGGACAAACCAAAAGGCTTATCGCATGCTCACTGCTGGATACAGACGAACCTGATTAAGTAAATAGGAACTATGGTTTCCTCACATTCTCCGAGCCAGGTCTTACGCCTTCACAAATGTAGCGCACGAAATGTTCATGGAACATATATGCTTATTGCCACCGGCCTGATCGTAGCTCGCCAACACTGCGTCAACTTGATCAGTCTTCTGCCGTCATCCTTGACGAAACTATCCAAATCCTTCGTAAAATTGGTGCTGAGCACCATCTGCGCCTCCCACTGACCATCCAATACACTGTCTGCAGTTATCAGCATCAACGCGCTCTCTAGCTTGAGCCCAGCCTCTATGGCGCTCATCTCGAGGACTGCAGGCGAGAATAGAGTGCGGATATTGGACGATAAAGAGGGCTTATGGTACTGTATTGCCGCCTGAGTGAGAGCAGCAAGAATATGGCATTGCGCTTGGGCAGAAGATAGACTCCATTCTGGGATGCAGATTTTGGTGACTTTGCTTTTCGCTGGCGCCGAAAGCGCGTCACGGAGAACTTGAGGTGACGCGAAGTACTAGGTACAAAGTACGATCACTGCGACGTCGTTCTTGTCGTGGTCTTTCTTCAAGAAATGCGATGGGATCGGTATGCTTCCAGGTAACACGTGGTCCCAGTACGCTGGATGATATGTTATCCTGCGCTTGCCCGAGCGTGTAGGGTGATCCTGAGCAGCCATCGTATTTCAGTATTGACTCTTTCGTTTTAGATTTGGTAACAAGTAAACCGTAGACCAACGATCCTGGATCTACTGCGGTTACGTGCCCGTTCGGTCTCACAAGCTTGGCCAGGATGACGATGCAATCTCCTTGCCCGCATCCGGCATGTATTGCGTTAACACGTCTCGGAAGTCTCAAGTCCCCTTGAATCGAGGAATATCTGCAGCTGTGATATGTAGAATTGTGCGAAGGAATTGATAGTGGACAATTATACCTGTTTTGTAGAAATAATTGACACTGCGGGCCAGGGTGCGTGCATACTCCTTCATTCAGGTTATCAGGATCTGACGTCGAGGGTAGAGTATACTACACTACAAGATCAATAGGTTCCTCCAGTATCTTGCAGTCGGATCCTAAGGTTTCCTTGCTGTATGCTCATTTTTCATTTTCTAGACCGTCTGATCATGTGTAGGTGTCTCTGAGTAGAATACCGGCAGCGGTCCTAATCATAGCATTGCTTTGTTCGCGGATGGCTATTGTGGATGTCCAGAAAGCCCAATTGAAGCCGCTGAACCGGCCCGTAGCATTCTGTGGGAAGAATCAAAGCGTTTGGATCATGCCACAGGCACGTCGTGGAACGCTGTTACCTTGGCTTTTTGGCGTACATGGTATCTTATTCCGACCTCTCCAGAGCCATACCACTTTCCTCATGCCCAGGGCCACATGACGATGTTGCAAAAATTACGTGCGAAGGTACTGGCACCAGTCTTGTCAAGATGATTTGATCCTCCTTGTATTTCCAGATGGGTATGGTACGGCGCCGCTGTCCTGGCTTAGCTTCGAAGTCTCACTGATGCTTGTTTTGATGCAGACCTAGATGAGTAGGAAAGTCTTCTACCATGTTCTGTCACTTGACTAGCCATCCGAACGAGGGTATGGTGCACTGACCATTCTCAGCACCGGTGCTTACAGCAAGGATATATTTCGGCTCGTCACTGAGTCTGATATCGGTCGATATGGCATGTAGCAGCGCCAAAAGACCTTCAGAGGTATGAAGTGCATGCCAACAAGCCGGTCTCCACAATGATGCTTAATGATTATCACACTACAGAAATTTCCTTCAAGCGGTAACCCATCTCGAAACGCGTGTGTTGGCACCAACAAGGCCTCCTCAACTTTGCTCCACATGCGGCGCCATCTTCATGAAGAATAACTGTAGTTCGTCAATTTTTCCAGTTTCTTTTCCTGACCCCAGCTTACTGTACTTGACACAGTTGCGTGGTCTGCCGAAATATCTCCTCAATTTCATTCTTCCTCGCCATTCCCGTCACTGGGTCTGAATTTCGGTGAGCATTTGTAATGGAACTTCGGCGCCCGGTTACAAATACGCTGTAGTAAGAAGGGATCCTTGGGGGAAAGCAAAGACTTATTTCATTTTCTTGCCTAGGCTTGACAGATGGTGCTTATTCATGCAGCACCCCACACATGCACCCTTCGTACACGTTCACACAAGGTATTGTCATGCTTTCCTTCTGGACATGGCTGAAGCTTGATACCACTCTTCTGACCACGGATCCGTGGGAAAGACTTGCTATGTTCCGAAAAATTTGGGAATGCCCCTGACTTTCAGGCTTCTTACTTGATTACTGGTTATTTGTCATACAACATTATCTGCTGGTGTATAAAGCACAAAATCATGGAGGACATCCATATACACCTTCTTGCATCATGTCTTTCTTTGCTATCCCTCCTGCACCCCCAACGAAGTTGGGCTACTACCGTGTTTTGTCCCCTCTGGCGAGTGTTCGCGTCTCGCCTATATAGCTGGGTGCGATGAGCATTGGCGACAAATTGCACAAGCTCTGATTTGGTAATATGGACAAGGAGGCGAGCTTCAAACTCCTCGACGCGTATTTTGATATGGGCGGCAACTTTATCGATACCGCCAATAGCTAGTAAGCGCTATCTTGATCTCTCCGTTGACAATATTGTAAATCTTCGTAGTCAGGACGAATCCTCGGAAGAGTTCATCGGTGAATGGGTCGAGAAGCGGGGCATTCGCGACCAACTGGTCATTGCCACCAAGGTAAGGCGCACTGAAATGTACAAGTTGGCCGACGTGCTCATGATGTTTTAGTACATCAAATGCGGTAACGATAGCATTCAGCAAAAGGTCAACTACACCGGAAACGGGAACAAATCTCTCCACATCTCCGTCAAAAACAGTCTTACAAAGCTGCGCACTGACTATATTGATATTCTCTACGTGCACTGGTGGGACGTCGAGACTTCTATCGAAGAGGTGATGAACAGTCTGCATAACCTCGTTGCTGAGGGGAAAGTTCTCTATCTTGTACGCATATCCTCCTTATTTCCTTTCCCTTGTTAACGTCTCGTAGGGCATCTCCGATTCACCTGCATGGGTCGTATCCCGCGCAAATATGTATGCTCAGGTCCATGGCAAGACACTCTTTGCGATCTATCAAGAATCGCTCTTTCGAGCGCGACATCATTCCTATGGCACGCACTCTTCTTAGGTCATGGGAAGTCATTGGTCGTTCTTATGCTGACAGTGGGGTTCCGTAGGTTTGGCGCTCGCCCCGTGGGATGTCATAGGTGGCGGCAAGTTAGGCACGGATGCAGAAGAGGAAGAGAGGAGACAGTCGGGAGAGAAAGGGCGTATTATCGTTGGACGAGGTGGCTGGGAGAGGGACGAGAACGAGAAGAAGATTTCGAGCGCTGGAAAAAGTTGCTTGCGAGGTTGGTGCGAAAAATATTCGCTCTGGTGAGCTCGTTTCTTCACATTGTCATGTGCTTTTGCTAATGGTAGTGTTAGTTGCTCTAGCGTACGTGATGCAGAAGGCGCGGTATGTTTTTCCTCTCGTCGGAGGTAGAAAGGTGGAGAACCTTGTAGCGAATTTGGAGCCGCTCGATATCACGCTATCAAAGGAGCAGGTAGAGTATCTGGAGAGTGTACTGCCGTTTGACCCTGGATCCCCTAATGTGATGATTGTGAGTGTCTGAATTCTTCAGTGGGTTGATTAGTGACTGGCTGGTTATCTAGGGTGATGGGTCAAGCTCTAATATGTTCATGGCGACGACGGCGCATATGTCGAAACAGCCGAGGGTGGAACCAATTAAACCATGATGCCGTTTCATGTCGTACTACTAAGCTGTCATTGCGAGCGTCATCTGCTCAAATGAAGGAAAGACTATTTTTCGCAAGCGCTAATCAAATTTCCATAGGGTCGTGGTCTGCGAGGTTCAGGGATGACTAGCTTGTGACTCTCTGACTCCACCACCATCGGTGTATCTCAGATGGTCAAGCGATTGCTACCAGAGGCTTCCTGACGATACTCAAGCGCCCATTGAGGCGCCGCTGGACACTGCTTTCCTTTTATGCCTGATCGTTCCAGCCGCATTATCCGCTTCAAGCATTATAATCTGTCTGGACTCGAAGTTTCAGTGCACGACGTTAAGGATCTCTTTGGCAAATACGTTCAGTGTTCCATCCATCTATTTTAAAGAATATGTAGCATTTCTCGTTCTCTTCACCATATTGCTCAGCACCAGATACGGCTTCTCCCCTGAACACCTTCTGTCGGACCGGTCCCTTTGATGGAATTGCGCGCCAATCCAGCCCTGAACTGTGCACTGTCGAGTGTCGTACGCTAGGCACATCATTCTGCACGTCACATCTCATTAATTACCGGGATCTTCATTGCAAAACTGTCGCTTCTCTCTTACCTCTTGTAATGATGGACGACGACATTCCCTCCAGCATACTGGACTGGTCTTCCGAAGATTCAGAATCAAGCTTCGAAGAATTTGGGAATTCAGGAAAGTATTCCGAGTCGCGGGAGAGGTCCCGAGCATCATTCGCAAAACCCAGACAAACGTCTCCTTATCCTTACGAGAATGTATCTGAGGAAGAGGCAAAAATGCCCTCCCGTGAGTCAACGCCTACGCGCCCACTTAGGAGAATATTTCCGTCTCTCTTTGGTGCCAGGAGGAACAATAGCACGTCTACGGGGACCACTGGTATGAGCGCTCTTTCAAGTGTCGGTAGCTGTTCTGACAAATCATCTCAGTACGCCAGCAAGCGCCTGCTGAGGATCCACCATTTGAAGAAGCTGGGCCAACTGCGCTCGTTTGGCAGACATATGCTGACGAGAGTACGATATATGACACTGAAATGGTCGCCAATGAAAGGGACAAAGTCAATATCCTCCTCGTTTTTGTGAGTGGGTCAGGTCGATGTTACTATATTAAACGTTTACATATTATAGGCGGGATTGTTCTCGGCGGTCGTAAGCGCTTTCATTGTACAATCCTCTTCGAATCTTCAGCCAGACTATGACAAACTGTCTGCATATCTGTTGTTCGACCTCGTAAATATACAACGCGCATTGGCAAATGGCACCTCGCTGGATGGTATCAGCACTTCAGGCGCAGATCCTGCGAGTCCTTTCATTCCAAAAACCTTGGACTCGTGCGTAAACGGGTTATGGTTCGCGAGTCTTACACTCAGTCTTGCCACCGCGTTGTTTGCGGTACTCGCTAATGAATGGCATTACCATTATCTATCACCTATCAGCGGGGACCCGCAGATTCGCAGTCGTATTCGACAGTTTCGTTATATGGGCCTTCGTCGCTGGCATGTCAGTGGTTTCATTGCTCTCTTGCCGTTGATGTTGCACCTATCCCTCGGTTTGTTTCTACTGGGCCTCGTTCTTTATCTTTTACCCCTGCAGCTGGTCATCGCGCTGCTGACGGGAGCCATAGCATTGTCGACTTTTGTGGTGTATGTCACTACCAACATGCTTCCGATGATATACCCACAATGCCCGTACAAGACACCGGTATCATCTGTTTTGTACGCCATTTTCATTCGGATGCTTGGACAGTTCCCCACTGTCTTGAACGCGATATCATCATCTCTTTCGCCTCATCATCGCACCTTACAGCTCGTCGAACTCCAAGCGGCAGAAACGTCACATGCCGAATTCGACGTCGGAGCACTCCATTGGCTGTATACGGTATCGTCGAACTCGTACATGCGCCGTCTCGTTATCCAGGCTCTATCTGGATTGCCTGCTGACTGCGAACGGTTTGCATATAACCTCTTTGAATCTCACTGGCGTGAGATACGCGATGAGAAAGAAGATATGTTGATGGATTGTATGGAGAGAGTTCTGAACCGAGACGGGAGCTCTACTCGGTGGATTCCCAAGGATATTCCAGATATCGACCGTAGGGTCGAGCAGCTTCTCCGGCTGGAGATTCAATTTCCTCCCTTACGCCGAGAACCTCAGTTTGGAGGGTATGATCTGGATCTCTCGAACAAGTACATTTACTTTGATGGCTTATCGATAACGCTATCCTCTCTCGAAGCCACACACATTCGAAAGCCTACACAGTTACCATCGCAGAAGCAAGTTGCCATGAATGCCTTATCCCACAATGATGTTCACCATCCTGTCGTCTGGAAGAGCCTATTCCTCCGTGCAGTTGATCAAGGATTATTTAGTCGCACGAGCGATACTGTACTCAACATCGATATGTGTTTCAACTTGGTAGCCTCCCTATTTCTCCCTGCTCGTCCTTCGTCTGCTTCGTGTAGCACCACTTTAGCGGATACCGCAGCTGAATGTTTTCCGGACGAAGTTCTCGACAATCTTCTCTCTTTCTTCGAAAATTTCGATCTGTATCAGGAGTCAATGGATCGTCGACCAAGGCTTCTTCTCTCAATCATGCGTCTCTTGGTGCTCAACTCGGAGCACTCCGAGTTAAATTTGATTGACGTACATTCGAGTCGACGTCGCTTCTTCCATTCTGATTCTACGATCGCCAAATATCGGCTGTTAATTGTCGCATTGTATGCGATCAGTAAAGGCATTCAAGATCCAGATATTGCTCCTTCTCCGTTCTGCCATCGCGGAGTATTCGAGGCGACACTCTCTTATATCACATCAGATTTGTTCATCGGAACTTCTGTGCGTTCTCAGAATGGATCAGAGTACGGGACCCTCGTTTGGACCTGCCGTGCTCACGCTCTTGCATGTGTAGCTTGGTTTATCGAGCGTGGCTCTGACTTTGGCGTCGTTGTACCTCTCTCTGAGTGGGCCACGAGGGATGTGTTTTCTAATCTCCTTCGCGTCGTGGCCCAGAGTGACGAATACTATCAATACAACACCCAGCGCATTCCTTACCAGCGTTTTGGCTCTCTGTTTGGCGTAATCAGCTTTTTAGTGGGTCAGGGACTCTCGGGAGGGATCTGCCATGCATATGAAACTTTCCGGCAGGAAAGAAGTTTGCAGTATATCGCGCAGCACAGCACACTTCACATATGGTTTATTGAAGGACTGCAGGGCTATATCAATCTGCTTTTGGAGGCGACTAACGAGACGGTCACAGGGAATCACACAGGTATTCAGTCGGAGGTTCTTGAAATGCATATCGAAGACCTTCATCAAGCGCCCGTGATTCTGACAATTTGCATGAGCATCGCGCTCAATGGCATCCCACGACGTCCTATCTTATCTGCCCTGGCTTCAATCGCTCCTGACCACCATGAATGGAATATATTGCTTGATTTCGTGGATTGGCACATAGATGACGACGCCTTCCTCGAGAGCTACTACTCTGACAGTCGCGAAGTAATACCGCCAGGTGATGCGAAACGTCTGAAGAAGAATCTGAAAGAGGTTGTTGATGTTCTGACCGACTGTGTTGGGACAGCAAAGGAACGCAATAGCAGCATCTACTGGGTAGGCGGCTGTTCTGAATCTTCCAATTTTCCGTCAACTGAAGACTTTAAAAGCCATTAATGAAGCCATACACTGGCACCGGGTCGTTGGAAACTCATCGTGGATCTCGATGGCGGAGGTGGAAGAAGAGAATACTCGGTTCTAGGAAGCTCGAAATGGGAGTCATGGAGAAGGATATCGAGCAAGGATAATTTGTAGCCTTGTACGAAAGGTCTGACAAATTGTTACAGTCAATCGGCCCGACGCTGGACACGATTAAATTATGATCATCATTACATGGCACGGAACCGCTCGCGCGTGCCGGAAGGAAGTATAAAAGATGTGGCACTACGACATCCCTCAACTTGCTAAACCACCCATACCCCCCTTCAAGACGCGCTTACCCACTTGGAACAAGCCCGCCGTAGAACTTGAAAAACTTCTAAGTGGGAAGACAGTATTAGTAGCCCTCTCAAAAAAACTCTCCTCTCCCAAAGCATAGGCACCACATAGAATACTTGAAGCACATTACAAGCAGACATAGCAACCAAGGCGATAATCGATCCCATCATCATATCATCATATTTGATTTTGTGACTATATCCTTGACTTGTCCTTGATGTCAGAATGTTCGACTTTTAAGACCTTCTATTAGCCAACCAACGTGTTCCTATCCAGCGAGATCGATAACCAAGAATGTTAACATTGGACATGAGGACCACCAGCTTGATGAAAATGCCAGACTGGTTTAAGCATAGAACTCCAGATGTCTTTCTGTGATGTGCAGTTTAGCATCACCAGCTTAATGTATGATATGATTCGACTTGTCTTTTCTTTCTACTTTCTGTGCCATCGTAGTACAGATATGTTGGGATTTTGCTGGAAAGTTCTAGAAAGGGCAATCCGGCATCATACCGAGAGTTGATGAGTAAGCTTGAGAGAAAGAGAATGTTGTAGTAAATTCTAGATACAAGCCTGGAGAGTATAAATACAAGCTCTGTAGGAGCTGTAGAATAACAAGTTCATACCATCTGGCCTTACCAGCCTGGAGTCTACCCTGCACATCACCGAGGATTTCCAATAAGATACAGGAATAACCTACCCCACAGAGAATTCTTTTGGCCCGCAGAGAAAGGTATGAGTTTGATGGCTGATCGAATGGATACCCGCGACTGATCCGTGAATCCAATCCGATTAAGACGGGGCCGCACTTCTTTTGTTCTTTCCACCAGCTGTATCAGGCACTGCATTTTCAACGGCGCCTGGAAAAGAGGACCCTTGAAGAAGAGAGGCATCAAAAATGACTCTGGCCTATGCTGTGCTAAAGCACTGCCACCGGCCGTAAGTTTCGCATCCGTTGGCATATAATTTGGCTAAGGCCCCGTATCAGGTTTAGGCTCAGATTTGAATGACTATACGGCATGGTATCGCCTTAGAGATTCTTTTGGTGGACATATATGGATGAAGCGGCTCCTTTGTATGGGAGTATGCTGGACGAATATCATAAGATTATTGATGCACTACTTATTTTTGTGCGTGCAGTTCTTTCCACTTACCAGGCTCGCGCTTACACTCATTTAGGCGGCTTTATTTTCCGCGTTAATGACAGCCTTTGTCATTCAAGCATCTCAGAACATGCAACCAGACTATTCCATTATCTCTGCCTGTCTACACCTCGAGCAGTTTCACGTTCTGCCATGTTTACGAGTTTCTGTTTAGTTACAATACCCAAAATGCGAGCTTGATGCAATCCATCCTTTGTTCCATCGCTCGACCCCACCGCACTCATGGCGCTCTATCTCATGCTCATCACCTTCTCTGTGGACGAGAATTATTATAAACGGGTCTGAAACTCCCGGCGTCAAATTTCCAGCCTTCTACCTCTCCCTTTTCCATGACCTTCCTCTTAATATATACTGTGTACAGATTACAAGTTCATGGATCGTAATTTGGCTCCATCCACGGAACACCCATGCTCATGTCTCCCACCACTGCAGAGTCACAGAAAATGTTAGTGAATTTAGGGGACATCATCACACCTTTCACTAGTTCCCTTTTGGACCGAGGAATGGTGTACCACATCGATGCGACTTCAATGTCATCAGTGTCGCATGGCACTGGTGGCAACGATGGAAGTGTGGGTCTCTCCGGGAATAACGCAAACAACAATCTGCACATGAACCCCCCAGTGTACAGCTGGTATCCCAACCAGATTCACCAGATGCTGGAAAATGCCCTGCCAGTGAGTACCAGGGAGGAAGGGGTGCATGCCCAGAACCCAGTGGGGAGTCAGCCTCATTCCATAGTTCTGCCGCCACCACCTAGTGACACTGGGTTTGACATCTCTAGGATAGCTTGATATATTTCACATTTTGTGGATCTTGCAGGGCTGATAGCTAAGCTTCTGTGGTGCTCGTGCAGGTCTGCAGAGTGCATTTATATGCATATATTAAAAATGGAAGAATTATTCATGATGTAAGCTAGAATTTGCCTGAGTAGCATGTATATTGTGTGGAGAGGATCGTCGTGAAATTACTTCTTCACAGGCGTGGCGTTAAGTGTGAGTACTTAAGGTTGTTCACCAGTCCGTCTTCTTTTCTCTTCAACCCCCACTCGTCATACCACAGTCTGTCTTAGTCCTTCACGGGTACGTTTGTATTTCGTTGCGCTTCCTAGGGCCCGTTTGGCTAACAACTCTGTGGAAAAGATACGCCCAAAATGCAACCATCTTCAGCAAACGCGTTGGTTTTCTAATATAAGATCTGAGAGAAGCCGCTGTTAACATCATGCTTCTTTAGCTCGGATCTCTTCGAAAAGAGTGCGGCAAGGACATCGAATTAGATTCTCGAACCCATGGATGTTTGTATTATATTTTTGAGACTGTAGCGATGCTGGAAAAAAATATAATCCCTTTTTTGCTACTCTGTCATTGACTTTTTCAAGCATCCAGTGCAAGAAACGGAAGGAATCGCGAAGCACATCTTGTCTGCATTGGCCATTTTTGGATATGTCCCTGGATTTGCATATAAAAATCTCAGGCAAATCAGGATTTCTTCGCCAAAAATAAGACAAGATCAAGGATCCCCTATCGGGAGTTTTTGTGCAAAGGGGGCAGAAACTTCCCTCGAGCCACCTCCTGCAGTAACCAACACCATCGATCTTCAGATGGATGACTGCCTGTATGATGACTTCCGGCCTCTGCAGATGGAGGATGTCCCATCTTCGTTGCTTGGGGATTTATATGAGATAGAGAGTCCAACCCAACCTTCATTTGCTTTTTCTCAGGACTATCCATACAACTACCTCTCCGACTTCGATTCCGTGAAGAATGAAGCCTCTTTGACGCCGACGCCTTTGGAATACCACTTCTCCGAAGGACATAGCCCTTACGTCCTGTCAACGGCCGACTCGCCCTTCCTTTCTAGCCACACAGAACCTTTTCTCTCGGACGTTCCCTTGTATTCTCCCGCGACACCATCCACCTCACTGGAGCCGGACTCCGATTCGCAACTCTTAGAACTGCCTATCTTCGTCACTGTATCGGATCTCACGTCTTCTTCATCGCCCTCAGTATCGTCTTCATCCTTTCCGGAGGATTTTCCTGACCCATCGCTTTCTACTGAGGCGGAAGCACAACCCGCTCATCAGGACCTCTCGCCATCTAGGGACAAGCGTAAATGTCTACAATCGGACTTGCAGGCGTCTTCAGCTTCTAACTCGGGCACGGAGTTTTTGAGCCATTCACCACGGTTGAGATCCGAATTCTTCTATCACAAAGACGACGAATCGGATTCTGATATGGTCTACCACCCTAGTCCAGGACCCTCGATCCCCAAAAAGAGGACTCGGTCAACCAGGACGACGAAGTACTTTGGTGAGAAGGATGGCAGAGGCGACGAGCTGCAGTTTGTTGCAGATGGCAGTAAGAAAAGTCGCGGAAGGAAAGTTCCTGTTGCTCCGAAGTTCCGTCAAGATGATCAGGCTAAAGCAGAGTCTCACACGGTGCTTCCATCGATTCCGTTCGACGTGAATCTGGCAGGCGCTCCCAACAAGGACACGAGGCGATATGTTTGCACTTACGAAGGATGTGGAAAGTGCTTCACTCGAGGCCCGAATCTGAGAGGCATGTTAAGAGTCTGCATTTAGTCGAGAAGCGTGCGCTCGACCTTTTCTCTCTTCGGCTCCAGTGCTCACAGTTCCATAGCTCATGAATGTCCACAAGAACGCTGCAAGAAGTCTTTCAGCAGGAAAGACAATCTAAAGCACCATATGGGTATCTCCCATTGAGCCAATTGTCTCTCGTGTCGCGCGTTTTTCCTCATATACATGTAACAATTTCTCTGTACTCGCTTTATAATGCATGCCACGAATATTCATGATTCACATTGACTTACAAACTGTTGCAGACAAGAAGAATTCTCTCCAATTCGGAGTCCCTGAAATGAGAAATGATTTATTTTCGTGAAGTCTCACCTGCGCACATGAAGCCAGTTGGCTGTGATGTCGCTAGTCCGGCTCTGAGATAACAAGCTCATCTAATTGTGGCCTACGCCGAAAAGGATCAGATCTTGAGCCTTGTCATCTACGGGTCGAGTTGTATGAGCAGGTATCGGGGATCCATTGTCAGCCGATATGGGATTCTGCTTGGATGTCGAATATCGGTGAGCCTCGAATCGTGGAATGGTTTTCGCATGTACATACGACTGGTGAGGCCAAGGAGGAAGCAATCTGATTTCTGTAATTCTGGATGATGTCCTGGGGAGGAATAGTTCTTTTCTTGCCGGCAGCCGACGGGCCTGCTGCGAGGGCAGTAGTATTTAATTTGTTCTTAGGCTGTGAAAATTAAAAGATGACTTTTACCAAAAAAAAAATGGGGCCAATGAGACCGCAGAGATTCGAGAACAAGCCCCCCTAAGTAAAGCGTCAGTGCAAGAAACTCAGAGATGATCTTCTGACCAACAACCACAAGAATAATTTTCGGTGTAGATGCGTTGAGACACTCCAGGGAAATGAAATCTTTCTTTCATTTCGTTCAGTCAATGTATTGAGCAACGATGGTTGTTGGCAGGAGCGATCAACTGCGGCAGGCCGCTTTCCGGCCGCAGCATAGTTTATCCCTTCTCTTTTCGACCGAGGACGGCAGAGCGTTGTTCGTCGTGCATTCGTATGCTCTGGGCGAATTAAATTTGGATTCATCTCAACCTGTCCGCTTTCTAGCTTTCTCACTATATCTCAAGCTAGTTGTAGTAGCACTTTTCTTTCTGGGAACGGGCCATTGCACTCGCCACTCGTAGCGTCATAATACTCGTCAACGATCCACAACATGGCTTATATTTGGATTGCATTGATGACTAGGTGGAGTCACTTTTTTCGGCGAAGCTGAGCATTATATGCCCGATCCTCAACGCCGGCAAGTTTCCTCCTAGTCCAAAAAATCACCACATCACTCATTTGTTCCACAGCCACACAAACTTTGGCAACAAGTCGGCTGTTGGGGAAACCTTTCGGACTCCGCTACAAAAAAATCTTCCTTCAAAATCGGGACTGCTGTAGTTTGTGAACCCGACAGCACGGACATCATTTGAAAACGAACGCTCCATCAGTCGTACAGGAATGCGTAGAAGAAGATTGCGCCCCTGTATTCCCTCTCGAGTTTGACCCTAATGATCATTCCGAGACGCAGAAATACTGCGACGCACTCGCGCATTACCGCCGACAAGCTTTCTTGAACCCTGGCTTGACTTTCGACCATAACACCTCGAAGCCGTCCTTCCAGCTCTCCGTTCCGTCCCTTGCCTCTCTTCGCTCTGCAGGGAGGCAATTTCCAACCTGTGCTGCCAACTGGTATCTAGAAACAACCAGACCGGTTTTCCCAGGTCTGGGTGGCGGATGTGAAGAGAGGTAACACGTCCTATGGTCGTATTCTACTTGAATGCTTTCAGGCGTCTTCGCTGCGGCACCCGGAACCATCGTGGGCTGATCCTACCAGTGAATACGAATGTCCGAGAAATCTAGCTGGTGTCGAGAATCTGGTGTCCAACGCGCTCGAGAATGTTCAGGGCTTAGCTATTCCGTAGTGTTATGGGAAACATAAGGTATGCCTCTACTTTGTAGTATTCGTACTGCTGATTTACTATGCATAGTTGGCAATGCCCCATGGAGAGTCTACCCATGTGATTCTCATGGAGTATATCAAAGGAACAACTCTCGCTCAGCTACAAGACAAGTATCCGAGCCACGATACCCCTCGATATAATCCCTTGCCTCAGAAGTCCTATAGTGAATGGCTCGATATGGCGAAAGAGCTCGTAAGCGCTCCTCCATCATTTTGACGATTTTGTCACCGATGATTCCTCAGTACATTTCAGCGCTAAGAGGCATGTATGTCTGCAATTTCCGAGCGTAAAGTAATACACTGCGACCTCAAACAGGAGAAATATGATGATCGCATCTACGACATCCCTGAAGCAGGTCGTGTACATCGACTTTGCATTTGCAGAGCTGAATGCGCGTCAGGACCTCATCGATGCCCATTAGAACTGTTATCGCTCCGTGGAATTGCTGACAGGCTGCTCAGTCAGCATAGGAAAGACTTTGAGCACTGGGCGATGAAGAATTCTCCTCGAGGCTTGACGTATCCGGGTTGAGGCTCATGTTTATCTGCTCTACTACAGGCCCTCGCAATCGTTGTTTCACCTGAGATACATCTCTTGTTCATAACTCTAATGATATACATTTACTACGCTATATTTCACTATCTCTTCCATTCTGTGCAGTGGAAGACTATCGCGGCTTGTTAACGGATTCGACATTTGTTGAGAAATGCGCTTCAATCCGCTCTTGCGGAGGGTTTGCTTCAGTTCACTCTGGAAACTCCCCTTCAGAGCGGGACGAACTGGTGGTCCCAAGTCTGGATGACCGAGGTCCAGAAGCGCGGTCGGACTGTGTCGCTCGGAAGCATCGTGTTGAAGATCTTCCAACCACCTCTTCTCCCGTCTCCCTACTTGGGTGACCAGAGATATGTAACCGTCGAGTGTCCGAACCCTAGACGATTGGCGCGGATCGAGAATTTGGCTTATACCGAGTTGGGATCGCTACAAGGATCTGTGATACCGTATTATTATGGGCTCCATAAGGCGAGTTTCGATCATTACTAGAAGGATTTGTATTCCTGGCGAGCTGATTATTCCATAACTAACAATGCCGAATGGAGAGAAAGCTCGTGTGCTGCTTCTGGAGTATATTGAAGGAAAACCAGCAATGGAGTGGCTTGAAACTTATACCTTCCATGACAAAGGTCCGCCACTCAGTGCAATATTGGATACAGATTATCTTCTCAAGGCAAAAAAACTCCTCAGTGCCTTGGTTGTTTTTTCCTTCGGATTATCATCTCGAGTCCGTTCTCACACTTTGCGACCAGTACATTTCGATGATCCGTTGTTTCAGCCAGATAAATGCACAGGGTGTCATTCATCACGATAATTATCACCAAGGACTGGGAAGTCGTCGTTATTGACTTTGAGGGGAGGGGGCCCGTCTTTTTATGTCCTCAGGAGGTTAATAAGGGAAGCGACGCTTTTACCGCTCTCGATATCTAATTCTCTTGCTGTGACAATCACTACAGGGTGTTACAGAAGTGGACCGATACGGGCCTTCCGGACGGTTTGATGAGGCCTCGACATTTCTACTTTCCTAATGATTGATTGAAAAGTGAACAGAGAGTTTCGGAGAGTAGAGATACAGATTAATATTTATGAATTGAGCTGATTTGAAATGCAACCGAAAACTTGATATCGCCTCCGGGCTGTTAGATATGTAGTCAGAGACTCACAGTGGTCTTATGTCAAAGCTGGCTTTATCATACTTCTCCTTCATGTACAATGATGGCAGGTGGGAAGTTACCTGGAGAGCTTCAAGCCGTATGAGAAACTATTGTAGAAAAGAGTGTCAAAAAATTACTCAGTTTCATTCGCAGATTCTTTCAAAGGCAGCCGTCGAGTGACATTTTCTTTGTGAAGAAATTCCGCCGTTGTTGGGAAAGATCGCTTTCCGTTCGTGTTTGGCGAGTCTGTGTTTTATTGCTTGTTCAAGTTGTCTGTACTCTCTCTGCATTATTTCTCTTGACCACATTATGAACAACAAAATATATCGGAGTGGTGCATTTATCACGGCTTTTGGTGTAGCTGTTTCATTGCGTACTACATTGTAGCGAATGACCTCAGTTCGACTCTGAGAACATCCATTCTTGGAGAAACTTCATCCTTCCTTTTTATGTAAAGAACTAAGATCGTAGATTAGATCCAGATTCACCAGGAGGCCATTGTTGGACCTCGAATAATCACTTGATTCAGATGCAAACACTCTTAAAGACAAGCCTGAGGCGATATTTTCCTTGTCGTCTCGTCTCGCCTGTCCAGCTTCGCTCTGTTGTACTGCCTGCGACCATTCGATTACCACGCACTACTCCATCGTGCCCGCCGACAATAACGACGGGGGAGAATAAGGACATGTACAATTGGTCCATAGCTGAGGGGAAAATCCAGGGGATGGTAACGCGTATGCGTCGCAGCTTGTACTTGAGAGAGGATATACGGAACTGTACGAACTACAGATTCATACACGAACGTTAGCTCCGTTCGTGAGGATGCTAGACCTACTCGCGGAGAGATCGGCAGTATACCTCACAGATGGACTTACTCGACCTTTGCTCTTTCGGTCCAGCATATCGCATGGGGGTTACGAGGGCAGATATCGAGACTCGATGAGATATGAAATCCTAGGAGAGGTGAAGTTAGATCTTAGGCTGATCCATATATACCGAGCTTGGTTGGTTCGTATCATCGACCCTTACGAATACCTTCGGCGACCGTCATTGTGATGGCCCATCATCGTCGAAGCTATACAACTTTCTGCTAAAAGCATTGTCTCGAAGCCTGAAGAAAGCTTAAGAGAGGGTGGAAATGGAGAGCAGTCGAATACCTTTTTTTATGATTCAATGTCCGCGATCAGGCTGTCGTTAGACCGCCTTTCTTTCTTTCTAATTTCGAGTCTTGATGGCGGAACTCATGAGTCACATGGCCAATGGCCTTTGTAGCAAGGCTCGCTTTTGACAGGGTAGTGACTAGGATATGTCACGCGAGAATCTGCCCAGGCCGTTCTCCTTAGGTGTGCGCCAGCTTCTCGAAGCTAAAGAATAGCTGGTCATCGTCCTCACCGTTAGTTACGACAAATTCCTGCTCTACAGGTTGGGATCTCTGCTCTTTGGGTGGAACGAATTCTCTTTCATAAAAAGATCGTCGTTCATCGGGACATCTGGATAGGATCACAATTGAGGACATCGGTATTGAGGTGGTGTGGGGGGGCACTCTACTCTGGAACCGCTCCCAACTCCATTGGGTAACACCACAGGCTCCAGAGCGGGACATGAGTTTGCTAGACGACGTGCGCAGGCAAACTCAGTAACCACCATCAAGTGGCTAGAGTGGCTGGTTTTTGACGACGTCGATCCTGAATCGTTTAGGCAGAGTGAACCTATCGTTGAGCTCCTGCTCCTCTTTCTTTGCCCCAGGATTATTTGCATTACGACACGAAGAGCTTTGCATTCGGGAACAATGGCATGCCAACATTCCTCTCTTCCCTCTCCCTCGATCTCGATGGGGGTATATGACTGTGGCACTTCGTAGCGTCGACATCCTCTTCATCAGTAGGCATCCTGTATTTGAAAATATTGTGTTGCCGCTGGAGGAAGAACGTGGTCATTGTCACTTCCAAGAACCTGCAATTGACAGTTGTTCAGCACTTATTGTTGGAAATCCTCAGTGATGCGCAGGGTAGACTCCAGGCTGGTAAGGCCAGATGGTATGAACTTGTTATTCTACAGCTTCTACAGAGCTCGTATTTATACTCTCCAGGCTTGTATCTAGAATTTACTACAACATTCTCTTTCTCTCGAGCTTACTCATTAACTTTCGGCATGATGCCAGATTGCCCTTTCTAGAACTTTCCAGCAAAATCCCAACACTTATAAAGCAATTGATGGTGTTGATACCGTTTGCATTTCTTCAATTTCACTTTCGCGCACGCACTTCCGAAAATTTATTTCTATAGATGCCATCATGTACATTGGCCACTTAACGTCAGCCTAATGCATCCATCATCAGTCTCCTCCCAAAGTTGTACTTAGAAGGGATTTTTCGATGGATTTCATTGCAGCAGAGAGAATATTATGACTCGGCCCTTTGTCTGCACTTGGAGTATCGACAAGGACTCGTGGCTGTTTAAGGGAATCCAAGGTAAATCCTTTTTGCTTGGAAATGCTTGGTTCTACAACCTCTAGAATGACTGTCTTGAGGTAGCATCGGACATTTGGTATCAAGCAAATGTCTGGGAAAGCAGAGAACTGTATGTCGGAACGCTCTGCAGGGAGTATTTCCATTCCTCGGGAGAGAGCCCATGGATATGCCCGAAGACAAGAACACAAGTGACTTCTCAATTCGCTTGTAGTCTGAGTCACAGTCGAGTCCTCTATATCGTAATCGTCTCAAAATGTTAAATTGTCTAACGCTTAGACGATTGTAGTGCGATCGACGGAGAATATAACTCCTGTCAGTTGTGAGACACCTTGAAGTAACGTAATATCATCCACAAAGCGAGAGTTGAGAGGGCACAGACTCCATGTCCAAGAACGAAAAGGATTCTATGATAAATACAGAGACTAGCTCCTGTATGGTAAATGGTCTGATTCATGTCCGACTCAAACAACAAGAAAGGGAGCGATACAACTACTGAAAAATGTTGCGAAAAGGTCCAAGTGATGCTGTTGTACATTTGCATACTTCTTCTGATACGTGTCTTTCTCGAGTATTAGACCGACGACTGGGCCATACCATAATTTCGTTGGCTCACGAGAACCGGTGAGGTTGACAATCGTGTTGTTCACAGAATCGGGATCCATGGCCAGGCACATTTGGTTCTTGGGGTACCAAAGCTCAAATGGCGGGTCATCACCTCGTTCAACGACCCTTCGACAAGCGAGCTTATCCCGAGAAAAGAAGTCATCCAGCTGCGGCATATAGTCCACTATTTCGCCATAGGTTCCGTTTCGGAATATGAACGTGAGAGTAATTTCCGTAGGAGCCGAGCCTTTTGCCTTTATTTTGAGTCTGTGAAAATGGGAACGAGATGAAGGCGTACTGCGTTGGTGAAATAGGAGTCCTCGAATACGGGTCCTCCTTGGATCCTGATACACTATTTCCTGGTCGATTCTTGGATAATAATCAGTAAATCCGTGCTGTAGGCATGGACCCTCCGCGAAATGGATTCGAAAGCACTGGATTCACAAGTTTCAGTAGTTCGGTGGTAGGAAAATATTGGATGCAACGTACCACGTCTAGGCATAACTGTGTGCACCAGAATTCACCACACTGACAGATAGCGACGGGTTCACGGACGAGGTCCAGTCCTCTGCAGCCGTGGCAGATGAATAGCATAGACATAATTTCCTGGTGTGAGGTAGAGTTGAAGAGGCGTGCATGATAATTAATCCAGGAGATTACTGTAAGACCCTGAATTTATATATGAGGCAAATAGCGGTTCTACGTCATTAGAAGTTTTTGGTCAGTTGTTCCATCTCTATCTCACACTTAAAAGACACCGTGTCCGCAATACCTTGATCTGGCAATTTCCAATTCTGAACATGGGAACGTTCCATGGTCAAGACTTAGCGCTGTCGCAAAACTATTGTGCATCTGCTTTTTGTTGGATATGAGGGAGATTTGTGTTCAGTGCAGGTGAAAAATTGCACAAACTGACATGCTTATTATTTAGTCTGTGTCTGGAAAATAATCCAGATTTACAAAGAAAGGAATAGAAGATCAGAGGATGCTTTTGAGACTCGAGAGTCGGTGCACCGACCTTGCACAACAAGCTCGGGGGGCAACTAATTCTGTAATATTATTTTCTTGACTGCTACTTACCGACTGCGAGATGTTTTTGCCGAAAAGCTGCCGTTGATGCCTTCGTAGCTTGACCTGAGTCTCCACGGACTTAGCCAAAACATTGAAGCACTCGACTAGCCTCTGGTCTTGCAATAATCAGGAACGTCCCTCATTTGCTCACAATTGTGGTCATTATAAGTTCGTCGTCATCGAAATCATCCAGCCCTTCTTGGAATCTGAGGCTCATTGGTCTCTTGTCTGTGCCGCAGATGTTAGAATGCGAGCTTAGACCGAGACTTGCGGCCCCGTTGTTTGAAGATCTTCCTGGCATCGCTCCTACCTGTCATATCTCATACGCCATTTTCACTCGCTGTATCTCCGAAACAACTCGTTCTCTGTGAGAACTAGGCATATGACGAACAGAGAGACCTGCAGGAAATGGTTCTTGCGTATTACTATGGCAAGCATAAGGTGTGTTTGGTTCGTGATGTCGTAGCCTATGAGTCATGATCTTCAAATACCTCCTTCGGGTCTAGCCAGCACTTTGATCTCCGAGACTTCATGTTTCATTCCCCAATGCAATATGTTGCCAATCCCTGCCACCCATGATTCCATACCAATAGAGAAGATTACAAGGCGCGACATTACTCGAGCACGGCATAGTCCGCTCAGTTTGTTTCGTGCATGTAAGCCCTCAAGGCAGTTAGTCTCGACTCGTAAGCTATGTATACCAACAATTGTTCTTTTGGACGTCCCTTAGCTCGTTTTTATTGATGGCGTCAAATTGAGTGTGATATGAATGTGCGTCCCGTTTTCGTAAGGTAGCTTTCCTCTCAGTATTGAGTTAATTTTACCGAATAGTGCCCTGCGTCTATTCCCCATGAAATGTGATGATTACTGTTCGTTATTAATACCTTTAGATTGTTACAGCATGGATACAATCTAAACTAGGAATCAAATAATCACATCGGAGACGAGAACAGCGATATGAATACCGAACTATCATGGCTTTTCCCTCCAAATACACACGTCCAGTACCGATAAATACGTAGAAATAAAGGTATTCCAGAACATTGGCTTTTTATCACAATCGTCTCGGATCCCAAATTTACAAGTACATAATTCATACACACGGCCTAAAATTTTATGCTCACACGGGGAAATCTACACCCTCCTTTGCATGATCCAAAGATGCAATGCTGTCCATCTGTGGAATACTATTGTTCTGAAGGAAGAACTTCAGGGTTAATTGATGACAAAAATCAAATGAACACATACTGCTTTAGTACCACAGTCGCGATATGTGATCCTGGCGACTTTTGGTCCAGAATATCCACTATTTGTATGTGCTTCATGGACCCGCCGAGAATTTAACCTAGGAAAGTTCAGCTCCCAATGAGGGCGACATGTAGGTCGGTACGCACATAGCAAGCAATGAGTTGACATATACTACAAGGTGTCAGATCAGTTAAGAATGCGAGAGGAGGTAAAGTCCGACATTTCGATAAGATTAAATCGACACCGAGAAAAACAAGGGAGTTTTGCCACACCAGATACTGGGATTCGAAGTCAGATCGAAGAACGAAATCAATATTTGAGTTACCGTACCGTAATGAGAGTGAATAATGAGCATGCACTGTAGGCCGATCAGTTTCGGTGTTATTACTTGAGCAGATGTGTTTACCTCGTGGCTAAGCCAGATATCACGACCAGCCGCATCAAGCTAAAGAGCATATCAGAAGTGCTACAAGAACAGGTCAACCATCAATCCATGAAGAAAGGAAATGGGTCACCTGGTGAACGCTGAAGCCTGCCTGCGTTTGTGAAGATAGTAACACATTGAGAGGGCAATTACAAAATCAGAAGTGACAGCGACGGAAAAAAGGACACAAATTGATCCCTGGAAAATGCTTCAGATGGATGCGCATCCACGATCATGTGCAGCATGCCTTGATCGTCGGTATTAACAGGAAATTGGATATGGAGTATCTGCGGAGGATGGTATAAGAATCAATAGTGATCGCAAAGATGAGAAACCTTTTATTACGCGTCATAGACTGAGTCTGCAAATCTGTTGTGAAGAGCAGAGTGGAAGATGAATGATCACTTACAAATTCCAGAACCCAAAGCTACTATCACCGTCAAGATCTGTGGGTACATTCTTTGGGACTGGGGACAAAGGTTCATATACGTTGATGATGCCTACCACAATCCACGGGATAATTCTGTGGCAGTCACCGGTAACTTGAAGTAAATTAAGCTCGTGTTTGGAATGAGAGAGGGGCAAGCGCGAACGTTTCCAGATCCTGACAGCATATAAACTGTATGTTATACCAGTGAGTATATATGTGGCAACACATTGGGGAAACATACGCTTCGACCCATATGCAGATGATCAGCTGAACAAGTACGGTTGAATGTCAGAGAATAGAAAATAGCCAAAGGACGAACACATATCAATAATTGAAGCTAACAACGTCATATGGCGATTAGGCACCTCTCTCAGATGACGGAACAAAGGAGATAAGTACCTTAAAGCTCCTAGCATTGGGAATCAGTTGGAGTAATAACAGAATATTACCCATATTGTGACATACCATATGATATGAAACAGCCCCAGGTAGTCACCGAACAAGTCAACGAGATAGTGATATACTGCATGCATACTCAGAACAATATGAAGAACGTCGAGAACCCTGGGTAATATAGAAATCATTCGGATCGTGTTTATAAGCAACACAAGCTCGAACGCACCAAAGTATTGCAACCTGATCGAGATCATTTAACTGCATTCAATTATGGTCAGATGTCAACGTACGGAGTATCGATATATCCACCAATCATCTGGGTATTTCTTGTAGTATATGAGCGTTTGCAGATTCGTTATTCCAAATAGGCTGTTAACAGAGAGATTAGTAATGAGAGGGATGAAGTGAAGATTGCTTACATGGCAGCAACTGTTGAACCAACGTAAATAGCGCCGAGATTCATTCCCAATGATGATACAGCAGTGTGGATTTCGGATGGCATTTGGGATGCAAGGTTGAGGATAGGAGAAAAGCAGGAAAGTCAGTCAGTTCATATCGCTCGCAAGTTGATGCATCTGAAACGGTATCACGAAGTCAAAATGATATCCAGGGGGTAGTGCTGTGGAGTGCCTTCTCATGCAAAGCTGCACATCCCTTGCTCTATCTGAATGATGGGTGATAGCCGCTTGCTTCTCTACACATCGATAGGAGATGTATGTGCGCAAAAATTCCTTGGCTTCATGATTGATCATTCCGTGGAAATGCGGGGGTTTTCAAGAGACCGTATGGTCCATAGTTATAAATACTATTTCGAGGATGGTGGACTCACTGAAATCAAATAATTCGCGTTTCACCTTTGAGCACAGACAGCTTCGGGTAGCCAACGCAATGATAAAAGTGAATTGGGCAAAGTGGCCGGTCAACCCCGGATCCTATCCGAATGAGGTCTTTGTGACAAGTCACAGATGCTTCTTTTACGAGGGCTCCACGTGACATTCACTCTGATTGTAATTATACAGTAAAACGAAAGGTATTTACTGTTCCTTTTTGGATTGCATCTGCACTGGGACTCGAGAGCCATAAGATTTGATATCTCCCTACCAACAGTTTCATGATTGTACTCTGATCTTCTTTAGGTTTCCGAGTCATCTTCAACTGATCTTCGATGGCACATATTTTATTGATAATCGCGTGGCTGTAATTCATATTCAACTCCACCGTTGATCGATATGGATAGGATAGGTTCTCTTCCATCAAGAGATATTGTCCCATTTTTGTCTGCCACTGACCCTCCTCGAAGTTATCATTAGAATTAATGCAGTGCAATGCCATGTTCTGGACTGGGTCGAATCTCGATGAAAACATACAATCTACGAGTTCCAAACGCAGATGGAAAGACTCAGCGGTTGCTCGCTGGCGCTAACATGTTGTTCAAGGTAGTATGTGCTGGAGTGGGGCATGTGTCTACAAGAGAGGATATATCACTTCTGAGAGAAATCTGATTTTGATGGGTGGGAGGCTGTAACTCCTCTAATAGTTCATCAAATAGAAGATGTATGGAAGATTCAAAGGAGGGATATCGGAACGCAATAGACGGTAGCAAACCACAGCTAGTACGTCCCCCATCGATCCATTCTGTCTCTGACTCTGCGAGAGGTTCCATCGGTCGTATTCTTCTGCCCCATATGGGACCTTCCTCTTTCATATCTTCTCATATTTCTTCGCGACTCTAATGACACAAATCTACTGCTGTATCTTTCTCTCTTTTTTCATGATATCTGATAACAAACAAGGACACGATCGCTATGCGGTATCCTTTTTCATCAAGGAAGACGCCTCCGGATTAAACAACGTAAGGAGGTACAAATTTGATTTCTGCCAGTGGTGATGAGGCGGCGAAATGTAACGCTTGCACAGGAAGCGCTCAACCAAATCATATCTATCTCCAGTCGCTCGGACCCAATATTCCAGGTGAGCGAGAACCGCGTCCTTCTACTGGAACCGTATCGCTAGGTCCAAGAGAGGGAATGGCTGGTGATAGTCTTGGTTACAGCTACGAACAAGCGGGAATCTACGGCAATGCAACACGTGATCTTGGAGACCGGACCGTACCAACGCTCCCACTACTTCCTAAGAATTTGACGGGAAAACAAAGATGAGCTCTCGTGGTACGCGCAGACGTCGAGCGCTTTGTGCTCTGGGGTCCAATATTCCCTTGCATACTATACATCTCACCACTCCTCAATGCTAGGCCTCGAAACCTCTGCCGTCTACCTATATTTGGCTCACGAACGCGTCCCCCGATCCTGAATCCCAGTTTACGCGGAAGTTACGATCCCGATGGTCTAGTCCCGTATACGTAGAAGCCGGTGCTGTCCAAGGACTTGAACAACTCATGTGGAAATGCCGATATTCTGATAGAAGAACAGGAATGTTACTTTCAGTGTGGAACTAATATGTACACACCGCTTCTTCAGAGATTTGTGGGGTGTATATCTCACGAACTTGATCAATTGTTTCTGGATGCTTAATGGTCCGTTCTGGAGTTTAACTTAGGAACAGTCAGTGCCTGTTGAGATCGAAAAAAGGGCTATGTATGTGGAGGGTAACCAGGAAATATACACTGTAAGGATCCAGAGACAGCTCAGCTTGAATGAGAATGATATTGAAGAAATCCAGACATTTTGGTATGAAGAAAGTGATGCTGAGGAAAATGAGAAGATTAATTTCACCAGACGACACAATGATTCAGGATCAGATAACTATCCAGCATTGCAGCGAATGCCAAAGTAATGAGGATAAGCAATAAGCATCCTTATTTAGGGGAGAAGCATTCTCATCAGCTTAATTGGAAACAATGAGGCAGCATTGCTGACTTCGAATATCATTATGGTGGAAATACTGCACCAGAGAATGTGAATGCTTCTATGCCACTGTGCAGGAAGCACCACATGTAGAAGGTATATCAGTGATACAAACCTCACACCTTGATATTGTGTATCAGTTAGAAAGTGGACATGGAGTACCTTGTAAGCCATGAGGTCAAGCCATATGATACTTTGCTTTTGCATGACTTGTGAATTGAAATGATGGTTGACTACTGTTCACATTACTCACATAATGCTACAGCATCATTCAATCCTCTGTATATCACCAGGGGAAGATTTCATTATAATAGAAAGCACTTTACAGAGCCCAAACTTATTAAAATGATGATGCCTACAATCCTTAGTGATCCCTGTGGTTATAGATGGTGAGAGAGTGAACTTTTTTCACCTTCAACTTGTAGAAGGAACCACATACAGTGAAATATTCAATGGTGGAAAATGTGAAAGAATGGAAGGAAAATGTCTATGGTGATATTGGGCCAGTCACATCACTTTCTTTTTCTCTGTCATTGCTGGCTTTCTCTCACTGAGCCTTTGCATCTCTCATAGTTTGCTAGGGTTCCAACAACCATCAGCATGTCATTGTTGAATGAGATGATGCGTTGATATTTGAATATACCTGGGAGTGCTCACCACAATCTTCTTGTTCTTCCTGTGATTGTCAGTGCCTGCCTTCATGCTACTCTCTCATGACTTTCTCTGTGCCATGCAGACCATGTTGTACAGCAACCTCAATATATGAGATATTCCACCTACAGCATGCTATGGGCCTTTCTGATTGCACAGTGGGACCTCTTCTCTGCATAGCTGTCACAGACTCTGACATATCTTATACCCCACATCCATGTTCAGATGGGTAGCCTGTCACACCTCTTCTTTCATATCCATGTCATGCACCATCACTCTGTCTTTGGTCTGCACCATATTGATATATGTCTCTCCAGGCAGACCAAGCCCCAGCTTCCAACATGGCTGGATGCCCAGAGCAACATCCTATCTTCTTGCTTTCCATCATTCCTCAATGGGGCTGACAAGTCTTCTCCATCTACACTACTTCCTGCCACCACAGAGATGTTCTCAACTTCTCTCCATGCCCACCATGACAAATCTGCACACACACTCTCTCTTTCCCATACTGCCTCTGTTGTCTCACCCACCTGCTCTAACTCTGACTTATGAAGCATTCACAGATACATCCTTTACTCTGCTCCATAATCTCATGATGCCACATTGCCCACCCTATCTGATCATCCTTTTTGCCTCCTCTCATTCTATAATTGACATATCTAGCATAATACCCACTACAATACTGTTGTGGGATGACACAAGTACCTGATGTCAACCTTATATAAGCATAGACAGTTTTATCCTGAGTCAATGGTCAATTGCCTTTAAGCAATTGACCATCATACTCAGTCTGGCCTATTATCCACTGTGTGAAAGTAACTGCCTGCAACAGGTTATGGGCCCCATACTTTAAGGCCTACTTCATTTTTTTTCTTCACATCTTGCTTGTGCCCTGCTATCTCTCCATCAGTCATTTCACTACTGAAACAATATCACCATATACATCATGCCATCCTTTGACACAATCAAAAAAGGCTTCAACAACTTAAATGCCTCTAATTATGGCAAGTGGGAAGAAAACATGTTGGCCTTACTCAAAACTCACTGCAAGTACCTTATCACCATTGGCTGTGACCCTGAACTGGAGTTTGCAGACCCTGAGAAGCCAACATACCAGGAGAAGAAGGACTGGAAGGACTGAAAGGAGACTCAGATATTGGCTGCTGGCACAATCTATCTCTGCCTTGATGATCCAGAGAGGATGTGGGACATATTAAAGGCACACCATCAGCAAAGAAAACCAGTGACTTGATTTGTAGCCTATGACAGCTTCTTCAATCTCAAGAAGGAGACAGAAGAATCACTTCCAGACCTTGCTAGTCAGAGCACTCAAATCATGAGTCATATCCATGCTCTGTGTCCTGCTCATTTTGGTCTCCAGCAGTTAGAAGAAGAGCTTCTTGTTATAGCCCTGATTCATGCACTTCCTCAGTCTGAATTTGGAAACTTCATTATATTGCTATTTCTTCTCTCTGATAAACTCACTCTCAAAGGACTCTACACTGCATTTCACAATGAAGAAAACAATCAGAAGCTGCATGCTGGTGATCCAGCAGTCTCTGTCACTCTCAAAGCCACACCTTTCCATTCAGCCACAAATCTGGCTACCAATGCTACTGTAAAATGTGGATGGTGCCTTTGTGAGAATCATGCAGAAGAAGAATGTATAACCAAGAAGCTCTCACTTAAATGGGACTGTGAATGTGCTGCTGACTGTACTGCTGGGAAGCATCATCACAAGGGGGCTGGAAAGAAGGATTCAGAAGCTGCTAACTCTGCTGAGACAAAGGAGGAGACTGCTAGCCAAGCAAGTACTAATCTATCATCATCTGCTGTGTCTCATTGGAATACCAATACAGGTGCTTCTCATCATATGACCCCTCACTGACAATGGTTCTGACTCTATGCTCCACATGTCATTCCCATTTGTCTTGCATACAATTCAGCCATCTATTCAGCAGAGATTGGGTCAGTAGTATTGGAGCCAGAGATTCAGAGGGAGAAAGGCTCAGCAGTGAAACTTCTTGACACATTACATGTACCAGCATTGA